TTTTCCTATTTTATCACATTCATAATGGATGAAATTTCGAAGAAATTCAAAATTTCGAAGAAAAATGAAATTTTTCGTACATTGTATTGAAGTGTTTTTGTGAAGCGTTTGTTTATTTTTAGCAGTACATTTGTTGATTTTGAAGGTAAATTCGGAGAAGTACCGAGGAATTGCTCATGGCTTCCGCACTACAGTAAGGGAAGAAGGCCTACGTGCCTTGGCAAAAGGATGGGCACCAACGTTTATTGGATATTCACTGCAAGGACTGGGGAAATTCGGTTTTTATGAAATTTTCAAAATTATGTACAGCAATATGTTGGGCGAAGTAAGTCCGTGCTTTTATGTAACTCCCTCACTCTGAGGGCAAATTCTGATTTTTGGCGTAGATTTTTGCAGTACTACCTTGCTGAAAATAGTGACGAACTAAAGGAATGCTAACGAATGTCTGAAAGATTGACTGATTGTGAAGAAAGGAGTGGTGAAGCCAAGGATGTTTGGAGTGTCTCTTTCTGACCGTGTTGAAATTCAGACTCTTCCTAAGCAGGGTATTGATAATAGAAACGTACATTAACAAGAGGTGAAATAAGAAGAATCAAAAAGGAGGGTAGGAAATGAGAATTAAAAAATTAGTAAAATTATTGTAATGGTAAAAAATCTTTCGATCCATCAAATCGTATACATTTTTTTACGATTACCACGATTGGACCTCGTCAGTACGATGACTGTGGTAATTGTAGTTGGTGGAAATTAAATGCAAATTAGTTGTGTGGTGCATGCTAGTAGTAACAGAAAGTGTTATAGAAGGCGAGTAGTAATATGATGGGAAAACTAACATCGTCCCGCAAATGAGTTTTTTGGTTCCATGTCGAGATACAGACTGTTGCAGCGGCAGATTAACATGGCCTATCAGGAAGTGTTGCTCGTGAAAAAAAAAAAAAAAAACTGCCTGAACACCTTCTAAGAAGATCGCGTTTGCATGAGATGGAGATTGGGGGGTCCGTGTTGGATAGAAAGTAGTTTAGGGTCTAATATTAGGTACCTCGGTATGTGAATACACCCAGTAGCAGTGCTAGCAAAATCGAGTCTCCCCTATCGATGATCCGAACAGTCACGGTACTTTTTGCAGCTACTTCCAGGAATTATCATATCAGTGGCGCACAATTGTCTATTTAGCTGCATCCGCCTCGGCAGAATTTCTCGCCGATATTTTACTCGCACCAATGGAAGCTACAAAAGTGCGCATCCAGACATCACCCGGCGCTCCACCGACGCTTCGTGGTTGTGTTCCAATGATTTACCGAGCTGAAGGAATATCAGGCTTCTACAAAGGTGCTGATTTGCTCCACATCTCCGAGTTCGTTTGCGTTATCGCGCTAAGCACCCATAATGAGCATTTATTTACGTGTCCAGATACGTGAATGTCAACCGGTTTCCCTTTCGATTGCCAAGATGGATTTGAACTCGTGTCCTTAATAATTCGCAACGGGATTA